ATATAATACATTGGAACGAAATTTTAAATTACATGACAATAACTCCAGCAAACTATACCGGCATAAAAATCAACAAACTAATTAAAAGGGGGCATAATATACAATGACTTCCAGCGTAATATATTGGAATCAAATTTTGAAGTATGAAGTCCAGCATATTATCTGGATTTCAAGTTATGACAAGAACTCCAGCAATCTATAATGCAGTTGAAGAACAAACTACTTAAGAATCCACATCGACTGTGAAATATTTTAACAACTTATGAAACAAGTTACGCAATGATTACAATATAAAACTAAGAACAGAGTATCAAAATTATCAGAAATAAGTCGAATAACTCAACAAAAAAAATCGTCGATGTTAAAATGCCACAAAAATTTAAACGCTCACATTAACGAAATCAAAATTAAAACAACGAAGTAACAATTAGAATGAAAATTCAACAGCAGTATTGTAAAAACAACACTTATTCAGACGAAATTTGAAGAAAATTTGACCTAACCCAGACGAAATTTGAAGAAGTGTTCTCGAAAAAGCAAAATTCGTGCAATGTTCTCAAGAAAGCGAAATCCATGGAGTGTTCTCAAAAGCGAAAAGCGATCTAATAACGAAAACTAACTAAACAGGACATTTAAAAGAGAAGGGCAAAAATATCAATTATCTATATATTTTAAATTAAAATGGCTAGAAATCAATGACATTAGCTAATGGTGGCTAATTTTGGATAGCCAGCCGTAAAAATAGCTATGCCATGCCATTTTGACATTTTATCGAGCACAATAGTTTGGACAAAAGGTCAATTGGATTGGTAGGCCCAACTCAATTCGGTATGGTGGATTTCATTGGGTCTGGAAGTATAAGGTTAAGTGACTTACATGCCCATAATGAGTTACCTTCAAATAATATTACATATTTTCTTTTGAATTTCACGTAATTTAATATATTTTATAAAAGTTATATATTTTAATCTACTTTAATGTATTAAGTTTTAAAATTGTTAATTAATTTATGACTGTGTAAAAGTCTAAATTTCATTAAATCTTTGAAACAAAATATTATACGTAACTCAATAGTCACAATTTTTTTTTGAAAATAATTCTTTAGTCCAAACACACAAATAACCTGAAGCTGATCGAGTCTCTAACCTATTTTTGGCTAACTAAACCTTTAAATATGTTAATGAGAAAAAATTACTTAGTATACATATTGGCCATCCACCTTCAATTAAAATAGCCCAAATGTCAAACAAACATCATCTTTGAATTGGCCAATATAACATCGACTTGTCTTTTCCATGCACTAAGCCATGTGGTTTTCCTTGGTAATTCTTACATGGGGTGTGTGTAACTATAGTCTATATATCTTTCATGTCCTAATTTATATGACACTTTTCAATTTTTGAGATTCAAACTTCATAATTTTCATTTTATATTTGAACATAGATCATTAAATCTTTTGAAATAAATATTTGAACTATGTAAAAAATATTACAGAGCAGCTCGGTGCACGAAGCATCCCACATTCGCACGGGATCAGGGAAAGATTCATACCCTAAAGTGGTGCATGTGATGTAAGCACTAAGCAGTCTGACTTAATACAAGTATCAATGGCTGATTTTATAGTTCGAAGTCATAACCTATAAGTTACACGGAGACAACCATATCATTGCTCCATGCTCCCCTTCTAAAAAGTATTATAAGTCATAACTATTACTAAAATTATTTAAAAGACATATAAAAAAATTATGGTAGAAGAACAACTTGTTGAACTCAACATCCCACTACCTTCAAGTAAATTGGGACGGAATGAGTGTCATATATGACTGTTTCTTCAAGATTGACAAAACAGATGAGAAAAGATAGGGAAAAAAATCCCAAGAAGATAAGAAAGTAAGGACTATACCTATCACAAGAAGAGAAAGTATCATCGAAAAAAGGAATAAAAATCAGAATCCAAAGGCTACTACATCAGTACTGAAATAAATTCAAAGAACTAAACCAAAAAAAAATTAAATACGAAAATTAAAAATCATACTCTGTAGTAAAGCTACTACATTAAAATCAGCACTGATAAAAAGGTTCTGTACAACATCAGTGTATTGAATATCAATGTGTACACCATACTAAATGCTTATAACAGCCTCATTTAATATGTCTTGCCTCTACAAGAATCCCAACTAGGGGACCAAATTTATTGACCAAAATTCCTAAAAATTAAGAAAATTACATAGAATCCACGTGTTAATAATTATAAATCACACAATTCAAAAAAAAACTGAAAATTCACGAGCCTAAATTAGTCTAGGTGCGCTCAGGTTGACCTAATAACGACCCGAGCTACGGGTTGTAAAAGTGGTCACCACATCTACATTTCCATCCCAATGGTTTGTAATTGGAGTACCTATTAGCCCCAGGTGGCTGAAAATAGTCCATGGGCATACCTTGGATTTGACTCGGTTCAACTCGGTGGTGACTCGGTATCGTTGGCACTTGAACCGCCATGCATGGGTGGCATTGGTTACACTTGTTGTAACAACTTGGTGGTGTTGAACCCAACCTTGTTTTCTCTTCCACTAATAAACCCTAAAAAAAAAAGACAATAAGAAATGAAAAAAAAATCAAGAATCATTATAATACAACTCCATAAGCATACATGCAGTTAATTGTTATATAATTTAGAGGGAATTCTCAGTTCAACTAAATTCATTGTTTTTGACTCAAATTATAAATATATATATGAAAAAAAAATTAAATACATTCAAATCTCTCTATAACAATATCGTCATATAACAATTATTCACTATAAAAACCAATTTTTTTTTATGGAATCAATTTTCATGCTAAGTTATAATATGTTCCCTATAATAACATTTTGCTATAATGGCCAAAATAATGAGCAAATGAGTCTGTTACAGAGAAATTTGACTATATATGAGAGTTAAATAAGATCAAACTCATTCTGAATCAACCAACTCTAAATTCTGAATTCGACTCTGAACCTTATACTTATATTTGAGGGAAGGGGGAGGAGAGAAATAAACAAGAAAATTTACCTGAGTAGAGTCTTGGGGTTTGTATTTGTGATATAAACAATAGGAAGGAGAGAAAACAAGAATGAAGAGAAGGGCAATAATTGTGGCTTTGATAGGAAAAATTAAAGAGAAATTAAATGAAGTGTTAGTAACCATGGTAGCATTTTTTTCCAATTAATTAATATAACTTCAGATAATCAAATGAACTATAAAGTTTAAGTTGGGAAAAGAATAAAGAAGGAAAATCTCAGTTATATTTAGAAGTAAAAGAATGAGTAGGAAGAGAAAAATGGAAGAAATAGGCTACAAGAAGTACCATGATTTTTAGGTTTGAGAGAGGAGAAATGAAATACTAAAAGAGAGAGAACAGAACTGCAGAAGAGAGTAAATCTATGACTTTTTATCTTCTTATTTTTCAATTATTTTACAATGAGGGAAAGACAAAAGATTGAAAAGAACAAGTCAAGAAAAAAGGAGAGACAGACACAGGGAGAATTGGTACAGAAAAAAGGAGGAGAGCTCCTTGTTTTTCCACTAGTGAGGGATTGGCTATTATTAGTAGCTGCTTGTATGGTGATGGATTAAATGGAAAAAATAATACTAATAAAATCGAATAAAGATAACAGGGTAGTTAATTGCAAATATAAGGAGAGGTAAATGTCCAAATTTATGGGGCAAAGCTCACTTTTAGCGCACGGCTAAAACTATTTATATCCAGTAATCGTAAAAGTATATAAAATTTATTTATTTATTGTACATAACATAAAAAATATATACAGTGTGTGTATATATTTTACACTGAGGGAATATATATACATTTTTTACTATTGGCTTGAGAATTTTTCCAAATTTTCGTTCATTGTCATTAACGAAAACCTAGCGTCAACTTTTGATTTTAATGGTTTAAAATAGCTTTCGTGTTGGAACTCTATTTTGGGTTTAAGCCTTAAGAGTAAGAGCCGGTTTGGATTGGCTTAAAAACGTGAATTTTCAACATAAATAATTTTTAAGCCAAAAAACAATAAGTTGTTACTTTTGATTTGATTTAAGCAGTTTTTAACTTATTTTAAACACGTTTTAACTTTGCCAAACATTAAAAAAAAAAAAAATTAGAGCTTAAAAGCTGATTTGACCAGTTTAAAAGCCAATTCAAACGCCCTCTACGTCTTTTCCTAAGGGCAAGGGTAATAGTAGAACAAATTTAGCGAATGACAAATCTACATTTCCATATAATTAGAGGGTTCACCCTTAGAGAGTATTTACAATTAAGTTAACTAAAGATGCGAATTTATTGTTAAGAGTATATTGTAAGTTACTGATGATGTAAATAATATTTAAGCAATCAAATAATGATTATAATTAAGATGACAAGAATCAAATTGTTTTTATAAGCATTAATCGATAACTAATCTACTATTATTAGAGGACAAATTACATTAGTAATGCAAAACCCCGTTACAACTTCAGTACATATAAGTTAAATCAAATATTTTTTTTGTGACTTCATTTTCCAACTGCTTCTTCGTTCCTTCTCCATAGCTTCCTCTCTATGCACAACTTATTTTCTAGAAATCTTTTTATTTTTTTCAAACAAGTTAATGGATGTCGTTTCTCGAGTTAACAAGGATATATTATTTTGCCACATTGACTATATCCTAATAACTTCTCAATACTAAAAAAATAAATAGAAGTAGCTACAAACTTCTAGTTAATCTGTAGTTACATCCTTGTAGCAAATTGAATTTTTTAATAATCTATTGCTAATAAATTGCTAAATAGGTTATAGTGACAAATTATTCTATTTAGCTATAGAATTTATCTGGCGCTAAACCTAATGACTGTACTTTGATAACATATTGACAGGCCTATTTCCATGTATGTAGGTGACATGATAGGCGAATTTAGGATTTAACGTTTATAAATTTCTATAGCAATCTTTGTTATATGCTCCGCCACCGGACATAAATATGGTTAATGAACAATAATAGTGATTTTTGTTGCAAAATCCATATTAGAGCAAAGAAGCTATAAAGAAATACAATTCCTACAAAAGAACACAAAACTAAAATGTATCATAACTCCATTTTTATGCAAAATTTTGGTTAAAACAGTCACCTTTTCCTCCTCCTAGCAATCTTCACAGTACCAAAAAACCCGACCCGTTTCTGCAAATCTTCTCTCAACAAAAAACCTAACAATGCCGCACAACAACAGAACCCTAATGCCCAATCTGAAACCCCTCTTTTCCACACATTAACTGAAAACCCAAAAAGGGTTAAACCCAAAATCCCCAAAAATACATCAATTTCCAATTCCTTGGCCAAAATCAACCACAATCCCACACCAATGATTACTAATAAGACCCAAAATCCCCAATTTATCTTCTTTCTTCTTCTCCACCCATCAAATCCATGACCTCTCCAAAACCTAAATCCACCTCCATTTCCACCTCCAAATTCTCTTATAATTAAATCCAATGGCTCCGGCAAAATATTGAGCTTTGACGCAATGAAATAGGCTGATTCTAGCATGATTTTGGTTGATCTGACGAATCCGGATTGCCTTTTCTTTTTCCTCGTCGACGCAATTGGATTCTGCAAATGGAAATGGGAAAGTACGGCATGTTTGGGAAATGGATACGAATAGTTCGGAAAATCAATGGTTCTTTGAATTGGATTTGAGAGGAGTGAAGGGTACTCTGAGAAAATATACTTAACTTGAGTGCTCTGCATTTCGCTCTCCTCTAAAAATCACTAGTCTTTTGAACTAATCTTTTGCTTTTGTCTTCGTCTCTTTTAGCATTATAAATCTTGATCAGGCTAATTTGATTAATAAAAAAAATAAAAAAACAATACAGCTAGCCGTTACATTAGACACTCCGGATTGCAATACGCACGTCTACCAATTAATGACATCACAAAATACTCATATAATTACCTAATAAATAATAAATCGTGAAAGTACGTCTATAAACTAAAAACAAGTTTGTTAATTGACCCCTGGTATATAATAGGTTTAAATTATACACATTATCAGTGTAAATAATGGTTACATCATTAGATTACCTTTACTTATTATAACTAAGTAATATTTTACTTTAAAATAATTTTTATAAGGTTTAACTATGAATATATACTTTTGATAACCTGATAATATAAATATTTCGTCAGAGACGGATGCAACGTATCGGTATCGGGTTCAATTGAACCAAATACTTTTGACGCGAGACATAAATTTATATGTAAAAATTCATTAATATTGCAATAAATAGCAATTTAAATCCATAACTTTAAAAAACCCTTAAAGGTTGAACTCATAAAACTTAAATCATAGATCTGCCACTGCATATCGTTACGGAAACAATATACTTATATAATTATACCTTAGAATTATGAATGCGAGGACTATAAAACTATTCGTAAGTGTTGTATGTATGTCATTTTTCAGGAGAGACAAGAGTAGTGTATGTTCTACTAATAATTTCGGGATTAGATACAGAGTTATTTTATTTCGTGTTTGGTTGTTTTTAATTCGAGATTACCAATTCCTAGATTAATTTATCTCACAATTGTGGTATTATACTACCCATATAGAGGATAGTATAATAATTCAAGGATTAATTAACCCAAGGTTAAACATTAAAATGAGAAAGATGTCTTTTTCGAAGGCTCTTCCCCTAAAGTCTTTTAAACAATCCAAAGTTAAAATTGAGAATAAATTAAAAGTTTATTCCAATTTATCTAGTATACATCAAATATATATTTATATTATACCTCATATATTTCATATTTAGACATTTATCAATAAAAATATATTCACTAAATATTTCTGTTATTATTTAATTTTCATATTATAATCCCATTATTATAATTCCAAAAACTTTCTCCTTCCAAACGATTCCTTATTAATAACATAACTAATTGGTATAGAATAAGGTTTAAGTTATATACACCATCAATGTAAACAATATTTGCATCATTAGGTCATCTTTACTTGTTACATCAAGTAACATATTTTACTTGTTACTTTAATGAACTAGTCCCCCTCCTAAAATCATATCAAAATTATATTTTTGATTTGTATTTAATTACTCCTCTTGCTCAAGTACTCTTTTTGATGAACTTTTATTTCCTCTATCTGCCCATCAAAGATGAGCTGTTAATTTTTGAAGGAGCGGGGAAAGAAAACATTTAAAAAGGAATAAAAATTGAGAAAGTAAACAAAAGTCATTTTCGTTTCCTTTTTTGGTTTGAAAGTAAATTAGAGGGAGATATAAATGTTAAGTCCTTACCTCCTTTTTTCCTTCTTTTTTCTTTCATAGTTTTCAAACAAAAGTTTTAAAAGTAAAAGATTTCAGACATAGAACATGAAAAATGTAGAGTTGAGAGTTCCAACATTGAAAATTAAAAGACCATAAAATAGTGACAGTTCAAGGGAAGTGTCAACATCCCTTCCCTAAAAAGGTATTTTTGATCAGTCAATAAAGGAGCTCTATTATTTTTTATGTGGTCACTTCTGCAAAATTACAGAGAATAGTACTTACCAATTTTCAAAAATGGTCCATAGTAAAACTATTATAGTAATACAGCAGGGACTAATAAAGATGACATATTTTTACATGACTGAATGATTTGTGACTGCTACTCTAAAATCCTAACCCTAACCCTAAATCTGAACCCTAATATGATGGAGCTAATAATAGGAGTCTAAAACCCTAACCCTAATTAGAGTGTCAACTAGACTTATGCCTTGTGTAGGTAAGGACAAGTAACTAGGGTTATCCTTTCATCTTGTTTGCTCATAAACGTGTGTGGTCACACGTGAGCAACTTGGAGTATATTGGTCTCTCTTGCATGGTAGCAACTAGTGAACTAGAGAGGGTTGGTAGCTACGTTGTCCGAATTCTCCGAGAAAATTATGAGATGTGTGTCGGATTCTTCAAAAGTAGTAGTATATTCTAGAGGATCCAACACAAGTATGTTATCATTTTGAAGCGTTCGGAACATAGGCTGGTAGTGAAAGATATTTTGGTGTTTTGAAAAATACTTCTTCCATTTCAATATTTCATAAAAGATGTATGTGATTAGATATATATGAAGTAGGAGAACGATTTTTGACATATATTAAAAGTATTTTGGAACTCATAATTCTATGTAAACCATCTATGACTCGTTATGAGCACGTCATTGACGATAAATAAGAAATTTAGAATTAAAAAATTAACTTTTAAATATAAAAATATATCATTCTTTTGGAACATATTTAAAAAGAAGAGAATATAAAATGGCATAAAGGGAGTAAGCCAATTGGTCTAGGTTTTCTATAAAATTATTTGGCTACAACATCAAAACTATCTACTTATAAATTGAAAATAGACTATATTTTTGGAAATCAAACCACAATTCATGTTTTGCATTGTGAATAACAATGCCGATGGGGCATAACTTGTGAATAATGCGAGTTTTGCTAATTCAATATGATTTCTGAACAATTTAACAAAATAGGTAGAATAAAAATTATATTACTAAAGTTATGTCCGGCTACATGAATTGTGAAAGCGTAATTTTCCACTCTTCTGGGTGTGTAGCGCCAAGGATATTTTTACACAAACTCCTTAAATGGGAATAAAAAAATTAAATAGCGGTGTAGAATGATCCTATTTGTGCAAATCATTTAGGACCCGTTTGGCCATAATTTTTGCCTAAATAAATTTGGAATTTATTTGGCAAACTCATGTTTGGCCAAACACTAGCTTAGTTAGTTCTAGGGCATCCTTAAGTTAAGGGCTAAGCTAGCGTTTGGCCATAGATTCCAAATTTATTTTGAAAAATCTGATTTGGGTAAAGTTTGGTTTGAAGATGAAAATGTGTTTGGACATACGTTTTCAAAACATATTCCCCAACTTTATTTTGGAAAAACATGTATATAATTCCCAAGTTTTGGGATTTTGGCCCAAAATCAGCAGTTTGGGTGATTTTGGGATTTGGGAAATTGCCAAAATATGGGCAAAATTTATGGCCAAACATGAGTTTTAAAAATAAATCCCAAATTTATTTTGGCAAAACTCATGGCCAAATGCGGCCTAAATATTATTTGGACACTGCTCTTCTGTGCCACAAAATGGGATTAACATCTATAACTAGAGACGTGAGAAAGTTAAGAGTCCAACCCATTCCTCAAAGGGGATCTTTTGCAAATACCCACCCACCACAAACTATTTACCTACCCCTATACATATAGTTTTCTCCCTACTCAATTTTTTGGCCAAGCCAAATCAAGCCAAGCTAAGCCGAACCAATCCAAGACAAGCCGAGCCAAGCCAAGCTAGTTTAGGTAAGAAAGAATTACAAGAAAATACATATGACTTCACACCATAACAAAAAATAGTTCTTGTTTTTAAGTTTTACCCGACCTAGCCCACATTGTATATATTTTGAAAGCACTAGCAAATTCAAAATCTGTGTTCTTACAACCATTGCTTCTAAAAGCTATGGAGTTAAATTTGTGTTCTCACAACCATTGCTTTCCCTCTATCTTCTTCTCACATCTTCTACATATGCTTCAAGGGGCCGTGTATTTTCTGCTTCTCCTCTTGTGTCACCTGCTTGCAATGTAAGAAAATTGAAGAGTAGAAGTCCACCATTGAAGACCATTCAAAGCTTTGCTTTCGAAAATGGATTTTTTTGAATTTGTTAGTTGTTTGGATTGGGTGTTGTTCCAATTGATTAAAAATATCAAAAGGAGTTCAAAATTAAAATTTGAAGTGATTTGTAGTAGATATGAGCAATATTTGAGTTAAATTTCAGAAAAGACGCTAGGAAGAAGACAAAGTCAGTTTTTTGTATAATTATGTATAATCTTGTATAATAGTGTATATGAGTGTAGAAACATACCTTATACACTATTATACACTTTTATACACCTTTATACAAGTGTCTGTAGATGAACTTAATTTCTTTCACGATTTTCAGTTGCAATTCTTGTTCAAAACCAGTCCAAATCTCCATTAAATGAATTCAAATTTTATATACAACCTCCTTATACTATTTCTAACAAGTCTAAATAATACTCACTCCAAATTTCTCACAAAATCAAATTCGGAATTTAAACCCACATATTTAAGCTTGTTAAAAATCTAATTTTCACCCCCAAATGAATTTAGTTTGTTGAATTAATATTTGAGTCACAGTTACTGATTCGAAAATTAATTTAAAAGCTTGAGGAATCTTTTTTAAAATTAAATAGTAATTTTGAGAACCTATTGGAGTTGGGTGTTGAATCTTAGCCTATTATTTTTGGGCTAGCTGGTCGTAAATTGAAATATGGGCTATAAAATTGAAAAGTAGGGAGCCCTTTTTTTCTAATGTGAAATTTTCCCTTCAGGTAATTGGTTTTAACTAGATAGGTATATATCGTAAATAGTTTTCAAATTAGTAAAGAAGGGTAATTATTTTAAGCTCAAAGGGTGTTTTGTCTAATTTGCTCTTCCTCCAATTGCCAATAGGCCTATATGTTAAGGCTAGCTAATACCAGCTCCTTCAGCCCATATCTCATCTCAGGGCCCATTGTTGCAAGTTTTTCTTTGGAATCTTTACACAAGTAGCCGATTAGATTCACTATTTACTTTTTCTAGTCACATAGATTGTACATTGATTATACATAATTATACAAATATTATATAAATTATACATATAATATATATTCATTGTTATTTTAATTTAACTGATTAGGTAACGGCTATTTAGGTTAATTCTTCTTTTTCTCTTATGTACATTTTATCGTAATGTTAATGCTCTAAAGACAGTCAA